GTAATTTTTCTCAAAAATCACTCATTAACTCAAATACATTTTAAAGAAAATTTCACATGACCTCCATGAAGAGAAAACAAGTCCTACTTGCCATATACAGAAAATATCCGCTGATTAAAAAAATGAAAACAAAAACCAGGAAACACAATATTTTTACTAAATCCCCGTTGCACACTCTTGCCTGCCAGCGCTCTGAGCATAAGGCCAAGAGCTCCCTGTTAGAAAGATGAACCAGTATTTGACGCACTGGCTCGGCACCGAGACTCTCCCCACAACCTGGTAATCAGAATCAAAAAAGGAATCATTGCTCACCATGTGATTCACTGTTTCTTAATGTTATGTCTGCATATCACCCCAATCAGACCTCATGGTCCACGCATACCATCTGTGCTTCCTAATCCGCCTCAGGGTTGGGGCTCTACCGCTGCATCCCCAGAGCCTCGGGCACCATGCGGGAACACTGTGGGCCCCGCACACATATTTGTCAAATGAATCAATGCATGCATCTTAGCTGTCTTTATTCCAGCCATACCTATTGGCCTGTTTGCCCTCCAGTGACCCACGCCCCCTCACAAACCTCCATGTCCTTTTCCACTTTGTGCCCTTTATGGAATGTTTTTCCTTCTCCTCCACTTTCCACCAACTGATTAACTCTCTCCTCTCCTAGTCTTTGGCCATGTCATCATCCCTTTGTGGTTTTTCCTTACAACGTTGGGTCGAGAATAGAAATCTTTTTCAGTAGGCGCATTATATGAGTCCCTTGATGACTGGGATTATCACATGGTAATCCCTAAATGCTTTTCTTCCTCTCCCTATCAGTCTCTACTTGCTGAGGGGGGGCAATGTGTCTCCTACCTCTGGTGCTGAATAAAAGCCTATTATCAGGCTCTTTCCCTTTCCCTGTGTGCTCTTGGTGTACCAGACAAACCCTGCCTCTCCCTTCTCAGAGTCATTGTGCAGAAGGTGTCTTTGCCTGGAATGTCTTCACCAACATGCGAACTCCCTTCCACGCTCCTGCTCTGAGGAGGCCTGTTCCCCAAGCCAGCTGTGACCTTCCTTCCCCGCTGTGCCCACAATACCTCCTTGTATCCCTTTCACTGTAGGATTAACCCCTGGTCAGTGCAATTCTGTGTTTCTGTATGGTTTGGTTAAGCTATGAGCTTCTTGTTTCTGTATCCCCAAGGCCTAGAGAGTGACTGGCATAAAGTGAGTAATCACTAAATACCTTCAGAAGGAATCAATGTCTAGTACAAAAATATTTTTCTATTCGCCTCTCCTCTTATCAATTTCAAAACTCCCTAAAGTCCCAGTCAGTAAAAGCGTAACAATATTAAACTTATTGCTGACATTATAGAGTGCTTACTATTTGCCAGGTACTTTATAAGCATTCTCTCACTTAATTATCCCCACAGCCCTGTGAGGTTGGTACTTCTGTTGATGCCAATTTGCAGGTGAGGAAATCTGGGCTTAGGGAAATTAAGTCACTTGTCCCCGGTTACATAAGTGACACAGCCAAGGAATGGACCCAGGCCGGAAAATCTCCAATGTTCTTAACTACCAGCCCGGCCCCGACTGTGACCTTATTCTGCCTGACCTACTGCCCTCCTTCATGGTCAGAAGCCAAATCCTGGGCAGATGGACATGCACCTGCTGAAGGGTCACTTTGACGGTGCCCTTTGGGAGTACAATTAAGCTACCAGGCACGGCCGCTCCCCTGGCACAAGGCCTTGCCACAAAACAGCCACCGTGGCCTCTTGCCTGAGCTGTGGGACTTGGCAAAAATCACCAGCTCCACACTCACAAGCAGAAGGCCAATCAAGGCAGCCTTTTCATTGATTCTAGAGGTGTCTCTTTTTCTTTTGTAAAATAATCCACAATTTGACATTTAGGGATTTTCCTGCAAATGGCAGTGGCTAGCACAATAAGAGATGAACTGCTATCTTTGAAATCTCACTAAAACACTTTTTTTTTTTTTTTTTTTTAGAGAGAGAGAGAGCGCGCGAGAGAGAGCGGGCTGTGGGTGGGGCAGAGGGAGAGGGAGAGAAAGAATCTTAAGCAGGTTCCATGCCCCGTGCAGAGCCCGACATGGGGCTAGATCTCACGACCCTGAGATCATGACCTGAGCAGAAATCAAGAGTCAAACGCTTGACTGACTGAGCCTCCCAGGTGCCCCCAAAAATACGCTTTAAAGATTTTAAACTTTAAATTGACTGAGGAGCTAAGTGGGAGTCCAGCAGCACCCGAGGGGGAGGAACAGTCTTGGCAACGTTTTTATAATTGCATTCTCTCCACACGAGAAGGCTGCAGCTGGTCTTTCCTCACCCACAGTCCTGTGTCAAAAACCGTCTGAGGTAACAAAGGCTGGCTTCCCCCAGTTTGAGAAATGCTGCTTGGCTGCGGAAGTTTCTGTGCAGAACACAGTGACTCTTAAAAAACCAGCTTCAAACATGATATGAAATTTAGGAGGTGGAAGAAAAATGAGAGCCACCTTATAAAAGTTCCTTCCTGCTTCTTGATGATGTTACCAGATTGCCTGTAGGAAAGGTCCAGCACAGGCGTAGGGCAGAGCACACAGCCATGTGGTTTCAGTTTTCCAGGGATGAACCTCTCAGGAGAAACACTCGTTTTGGAAAGAGAGGCATGCATATCTGGACAACCAGTTAACCGTGACCTCTAATCCTGGGTTCCTTTTCTTTTGCTGGGAATAAGCAGGGTCCAGGGAGAGGCCAGGGGAGGGCTCCGGAAGACCTGGGGTTTGGTTCTGGCTTTGCCACTTACTTCTTTTATGACTTGAACAGATCATTTAAGCACTCTGGGCTTCATCCTTTCCCAGAAGTGAAGGGATTGGGCCCAACTATCAAGAAGTTTCCTTTCAGCTCTGGAATTCTCTGCTGTGGTGGAGAGGACACGTGTGACCCACTTTCAGGGATCCCACTCTAAGGTGAATCCTCTTCTAGCAGTAGCGATAATTAGGGAGGGATGGCTTTCTGTGGCTCTCACTGGCTCTCGTGGGTGTATATTTAAACCTGAGCGGCCACTGGGCCCTGCAAAATGTCGGTGGATTAGGAGTACCGGTCTCAGCCAGGGATGCTGGGGCCCGGGGCAGTCTGACTGCCATGGGGGTGACCCTCCACTTGGGGGTCAATGGCTGCCTTACCTGATCGGCTTGAGCCATGGCTGAGCTGATATATCACAGAGGCTTCCTGTTCCACCTGCTCTTCTTCCTGATGACCTTCAGAGAGGCTAACACAAACCACAGGGCCCTCAGAAACCTTGAGAGTGTAATTCTACTTTTGGGCACTTAAGAAAATAATCAGATGAAAAGTAAGCTAGTCACAAGAGCTACCATTTATGGAGAGCTAACTGTGTGCAAGGCACTCTGCTAAGTACCTTATGTGTATTATTCTACATAATCCTCGTGACAGGACTTTGAAATGGGTATTATTACCTCCATTTTACAAAAGATGAAACTAATGCCCTTAATCTCACTCTGCTCTTCAGGACACAAAAATTTATGCGTGAGAACGTTCATTGCACCAAAATGGCCCAGATCTCCAAAAACAGGGAATTGCTTAAATGGTATTTTCATCTAATGGCATGCTAGAAATGCATGAGAAATCATGTTAGAATAATTAGTGACACAGAAAAATATTCACAACAAATTGCTAGGTAAGAATCCCATCAATTTATATGTAATTATAGGTAACATATATACTATGGTATTTGTTCTTTGTATGTTTCTTCTTTGTGTGTCCAAAATGTACCCAGTACGCACATACCACTTTTTAAATTGTGGGGCTTTTTGAAGGCCCATCAGGTATAACCAAGAGCCCATCCCCATCCCACTTAGTGTCCAGATCCTAGAGAAGGTGCTCTCTAATAGATTCAGTTTTTAGACAATGGACGTCTCCCCAGTCACAACCAAGAGGTCCCCTCAGCCGTTCCTCTTATTGCTGAGACGTAGAGCACATGAGTGAGGGACGGAGAGAGAACTGAAGGCAGATGAACACTTCTCTCTCAATAGCTGTGGCTCCTGCCATCCCAACTGGCCCCGATCACTATGCCCTAAAGAAGTTAAGCGGAGACTCCAAAATGAGCCCACCTAACGAAACAAAACAAAATGCACAAACACTATCTCTGCTCCATTATTATGATTCTGATCATCATTAGTAGTAGTAGTGGTAGTTACTTAGATGAGGCATTGGTGTCTGGACAGGGAGATGAGACAGTACAGAGTTAGCTTCACGACTGGGAAAATTCTCTCAGCTTGGAGCCCTGGGAGCACCAGGAGCGTGGTTGCGGAGAAGCGGCAAGACTCTGGGGTGTCGGGGGGGAGGACGTGGGCCTTGGCTTCAGGCCGACGGGAGTTGGAGCCTTGATCTCATTTACCAACGGAGTGACACTGGGCAAATTGTGAACTTTCTCATCTGTGAAATGGGTTTAAAGAGGCTGTCGAAAGGAATAAAGATAGCATGGAAAAAACACGGCATGGCAGGGGACACGCAATTGGCTTGATCTCTCTCTCCCAGCCCCTCCTCATCCATCCTTTCCCCAGGACAACACACCTGTTCTCCACCATTCTCAAGTTCTAAAATCTTCCCTCTGGTGGTAGCGTAGCACAAAACCTCCCGCTTGAGACCCGGTGCTGGGGCGCCTGGGCGGCTCAGTCGGTTGAGTGTGTGCCTTCGGCTCAGGTCGTGATCCCGGGGTCCTGGGATCGAGCCCCGCATCGGGCTCCCTGCTCAGGGGGGAGTCTGCTCCTCCCTCTCCTCCCCGCTCCTGCTGGCCCATCTCACTCGTGCTCTCTGTCGTTATCTTTGTCTCTCTCTCTCTCAAATAAATAAATAAAATCTTAAAAAAAAAAAAAGAAATCCCGTGTTATGAGGGGCTGTCTCAAATAGAAGATTTGAGTCAAAGGGCCAAGTCATGCAATTAGCCATCCCCGCCAAATGGGACTTGGGCAGGACCCCGTGGATGGCCCATTGCCATCTTAAGCATACCTGGAGATGTCATGGTCTCATCATGTTTATTAGACCCTCCTAAAGCATCTCAGGTGATGGCATCAAAACCATCTACTGTTTGTGTGGCTTCGGAGAAACTTCCAACTTCTCATCTTTATCGTTCTTCACCTCCCTGGAGGTGAAGAAAAACAGGAAACAGCTTCATTTTGGGAAAAAACAGAGCTCACTCAGAGACTGCCCGGCTTGTCTGAGATCACTTGGCATGTGACAGCAGAGGTGGGGGAAGAAGGGGGTCTAGGGGAAGGGTGGAAGTCAATACCTGGGTTAGTTACCCCCGCGAGGACAGGGAGAGGAAGCGGAATATTCGACCCTCTATTCTCCCCTCAAGTCCACCACCCCGAGCTCTGTTCCTGTGCCCAGATGGCCTTTCCTCCAAGGCCACATTCTTTCCCTACGCCTCATGACCAAGAGCCTACTCAGCCTGCACAAATGTAGCCCCCAAATATGCTTTATAGCCATTGTCCTAACCTTTAAGACCACGTCAGCACTGTTTCACGCCTTCTTGTAAATCTGCCACCGCACAGCCCATAGCATCCCAAAGTACCAGCTGCAAGAAACAGGGCCACCAGCTCCGAGCCCCACCACAGGGCTCTGCCCTTCCTCACAGAACTGGATGTGAGTCTTGTTGTGTCTACCCCAGGCCACATGCTCACCAGTTTTTTGCATACTCTTCCTTTGTGGGCATTTATCTCTGACTTGACCTCACTCAGCCTGATGGAGACAAAGTCTACTTCTCCTGGATCCACTTAGGCTTCTTCTGGCAGACATTCTGCTGGGCACTTAAGCAGCCCCCAAATATTGTGTTCCCCTAAAAACTCTAAACCACTTAAGGCTGAAGATGGATTCAGATTTCCCCAGAGGGCCTTCTGAGTGGCCTGGGATGAAAGCTGTTTTATGTCGGTCTTTATTTTCCACGAGCAGAGAAAGGAGATGCGCCTGATGGTCTGGTGGGGTTGTACAGGAGAGTGTGGTGTGGACTTAGGCATGGGGCTGGCCTGGTTTACAGGCTGCCTCACTCCTCCCTGCCTCGGTGACCTTATGCACTCAGCCTCTCAGAGCCTTGGATTCCTCATCCATTCATGGTGGTGACAGTACCTGTTCTGCCCTCACCTTAACACAGAAATGCCTTGTAAACTGTAATGTGCTGGAACAGTGAGAGGTGCCATCATGATCATGGAGATGTTTCTGCTTATCACATTTTACGTTTCGTGAGTCCGTTTCCGCCTGCACACTGGAGAACTCACACGTGGAAACGTCCAGAGGGAAAGACCACCCCGGGGAGAAAAGCAGGAAATAGGCAAAGATGGACACATTGATGGATTGTACGATATTCCGGCGCACATGCTCTGGTGGACTCTTGTGGAAAACAGTAGGATCAGAGTGAGGAGGGAGACAGTCAAGATCTTTGCTCGCGGGAAGCTACTACGTTCTGGCAGGAGAGTAGGCAGAGAATAAGCAAGCAAGCAAACAAGATCAAGATAAGGGATCCTCCCACTGCAGGCACAAGGGAGCTTTCACCTTCCTCAACTTCTCATTCAGAGGCCACAGGAATGTTGGCAGCAAACGTTAATCCTTGACCTTGCCAGGACAAGATGAGCAGTTTCAGATCAGAACGCATGAGGATGTGCTGGTTCTTTATATTTTTGGCACAGTGACAACACGATGAAATGTTGATGAGACACAAAAGTTAAGGCATGAGAGCGGCCCCTGGGTAGCTCAGTCCTTAAGCATCTGCCTTCGGCTCAGGTCATGATCCCAGGGTCCTGGGATCGAGTCCCACAACGGGTTCCCTGCTCAGTGGGGAGTCTTCTCCTCCCTGTGCCTCTCCCTCTTCCTCCCACCCCAGCTCTTGTGCTTTGTGTTCCTTCTCTCTCTCTCAAATAAATAAGTAAAATCTTAAAAAAAAAAAAAGTTAAGGCATGAGAGATCTAGACAAATGATTTTCCAGTTATTCGAGGATTTCTAGCCTCGGCTTGCAATCCTTGTTGAAATCTTTAAAAAGGAATACAGGCCTGCATCCCTTCACTTCCTCTCCATTTTTGCACATCTAGGAAACTGCACCAAATACTTTCAGTTCTAAAATTGTTGTCTCTCATCCTTCATAATATGTCACCTCCTCAGGGAAGCTTCACATCACCCAGTGAGACGAACCTCCCCCTTCTCCGAAGCTCTGGCATCTAGAACTCCACCCAGCACTTCCATGATATACCATCATCCCTGACTTGTTGGTTTGTCCCTCACTAGAGAAAAAGCATCCCTGGCCGGGGCTATGCTCCATTTGATTCTGAAGCGCCAACACCTACTGTCATGAAGGACACATAGTAGGTACTCAATAAACGCTTGTTCACAAGATCACGTCTCATTGGCCAATCTTGTAACCACAGGACACACTTTGCCAGTTGGTTTAATAAGACAAACACCCCATTTTACATTATTCTTCAGTGACTTTCCCATTTCTCCTATAAGGACTTGTGTTGTATCTGGTGTCTTACCAAGAGTTCCTGGTCAGGTGAGGTTTTGATCCAAATGAAATCTACATAAAAACTGATCATTCCTTTATCGTGATGAGCAAGGAGTAATGTAGAGAATTATTGAATCACTATATTGTACACCTGGTATTAATATAACTGTATGCTCATTATATCACAATTTGAAAAAAATCAATAGTCCCCACTTGATCTAACTACCATTTTGTAAGAACTACCAGAAAAAGATGTTCCATGACATCCTGGGGCTGCCATCAGCATAATCCAGACTATGGGAAACTACAGGCACATGACCTAGTTTTGTCAACCAAAAAATTACAAATAAAAAATAAGAGAAGGTTGGGAAAAGAAAGGAGCCACACTAAGAGGCGTACATGTCTGTTCAGGTATGGACCTCATTTGAATCCTCGTTCACACAAAAAAATTATTATTGTTATTTTTTTAAGACTTTATTTATTTATTTGACAGAGACAGCAAGAGCAGGAACACAAGCAGGGGGAGTGGGAGAGGGAGAAGCAGGCTTCCCGCTGAGCAGGGAGCCTGATGTGGGACTCGATCCCAGGACTCTGGGATCATGACCTGAGCCGAAGGCAGCTGCTTAACGACTGAGCCACCCAGGCGCCCTCACACAAAAAAATTATTAAAAAAAAAAACAACTATAAAGGGACACCTGGGTGGCTGAGTCAGTTAAGCGACTACCTTCAGCCCAGGTCATGATCCCAGGGTCCTGAGATCGAGCCCCGTATTGGGCTCCCTGCTCAGTGGGGAGCCTGCTTCTCCTTCTCCTGCTTCCCCTGCTTTTGCGTGCTCTCTCTCTCTGTGTCAAATAAGTAAATAAAATCTTTAAAAAACAAAACAACAACAATAAAACCCCATAACTATAAGGCAATAGATGGTATGTGATCACTGACTACATACTTGATACTACATAATTATTTTTCAGGTGTGAAAATGACCCTGTGGTTATATTTTAAAAAGAGTTATAATCTTTAAGAGATAACATCCAGATGAAATGGTACGATATCTAGGAATTAATTTTTTAAACCTGGAGTAGAAGACTGGGTAGGAAGTGCACGGTATAGATGCTTTAAGAGCAAAGTAGGAAGTGCTCAATACATTTGCTTTCATTATGCTGTTCTTGCTACTTTTATAAAAGTTTGAAAATTTCCATTAAATAAAAAAAAATCAGTAGTTTATAAAAGTTTTGATCCCTACAGGATGACTCTGATGAAGTCTATGGAGCAGGCTCCCCACGACAATGTTGCCCAGACTGGGTTGCGGCCCTTCCTGAAGGGGGAGGGGCGAGCTGTAGGCAGCAGGGCTATTCCTCCAGTCCTGCTGGGAGAGAATGGGAGGAGAGCTGATCCCTGGAGACCCGATCCCCATCTCCCTCAGAGAGGCTCCTGGTTAGATAGAGATGTGTATCTCAGACTCCGGGAACCAATGGAGGGAGAAAGAAGTATTTCTCAACTTCTCATATGGAAAAATAAATGCTCAGGAAAGGCAAACTGGACAGAACATGGAATTTGGAGTCAGAAGGTTTAGAGTCCCTCCTTGCCCCACACCTGGGATCAGTGAACTTCTCAGGGCCTCAGTGTTCTCATCTATAAAATGGGAATACGGTTCCCATCCCTGTTAGAGAACTGGTGTGCAGATAAGATGGGATCTCATATGGGGAGGTGAGAGGCAGCATGAAGCGGTGGGTCGGACACTTGGGTCTAAACCATGGCTCCACTGTACCATCCACACAGTCAAGTACCAAATAAATGAACGCTGTTAAAATTAATTATTTAAGAAAAAGTAATTTGTTCAAGGCCTCAAAGTGAGTCAGCAGGGTACTACGTGAGGAGGAGGATTTGCACTCCGCTGTCTTACCCACTAACCTTTGGGCTTCCCTTATGCCTCCGTCTGGGCAGCTGATTCACAACCGGTCGCTTTTTGCACAGGGCAGGAAAGACGGAGACGGGGAGACGGGCCATTCCTGTTCTGACAGCTGGGCCACCCCAGGTGGCAGCGATGAATCAGCCTTGCTTCTGCCACACTCAGCACACAAGGCTTCCCAAGCAGAAGCAGAGCATCCGGGATGCTCTGACCCAGTGGTGGTTGCATGATGGCAACAGATGACTGTCTCTTTATGCCCCCGTCCCCCGCAGCACTCAGCAACCTCACCAGTTTCTCCAGCTTCTGGGTAGAAGCGCATTTTTTTTACAACCGCAGGGATCAAGCTAGCAAGAGGGACATGCGTGGGCATGCGTGCACGTGCATGTGTAAGTGTATGTGTGTGCAGGTGTTGGAGGATGCATATAAACCCATGCCTATTACAATGGCTGATAAGACCCTCACTTTCCCACTTTCCTGGGCCCCACTTTACTTAGAGGTGTGCTCAGTCATGATCCCAGAGGACCTCGCTGCACACATGGTTTCAGAGAGGAGTCTTCAGTTTGAGTGATCCAAGACCTATATTCTAAATCTCATCTTTGTCTGTCTAAAGTACAAGAGGTACAAGGAGGCAAGAGCTCCATTTCCTTTTTGTGAGTGACTTTCTGTTGGATCGAGGAGTCGGGCTGGGCAAAGAGAAGGGTGAGAGCTGGGGATATGTATTTATGGATGTGGAATTTATTGGTGGATTAAAAAAGATTTATAATGTCTTGGATTTTGCAATAAGAATCTTTTAGGCTTGCTCCAGTTTTGTGTAAGAAAACAGGTGGGACACTCGGTTCATTCACTCTATTATGCTTGTAAATAATGACTGTAATGAACAACCCATTAATTACCATGAATGAACAAGTTTGAAATAAAAACAAATAGGTATACATGAAATAATTTCTAGTCAAATGTCATTTCTTATGGAGTAGCACCTACTTTAACTTTTATTTTGCTAAATTAGAAAGAAAAAAAAAGAGCCTCAATATCTCATTTTGCAGTCAAATGCTCTACCACTGAGCTATACCCCCTCAATATCTCATTTTGGGTATTGAAAAGCCTTGGATCTTGCTCTGCAGAATACCTTTTCCCAGGACAGGCTGCTCACAGCATTTGGCTTTGACATTAAAAAGCCTGCAATGAATTGTTTGTAATTTATCAGAAAGAAAAAGGTAATCTGCCTTTTAAGCTTTGCTTATTCTGCTTATGTTATGGAAAGAAGATAAGGCTCTAGTTCTCCTTTCAAACTGGTTATACATGGAGTAGAGGACAAGCATTTGCTTGGAGGTAAGCAGGCCTGTGTTTGAGTCCTAACCAGTGAGTAGCTGTGTTACCTTGAGAAAGTCATTTTCCCACTTGGGCTCCATTTCCTCATCTGAAAATAAGGATTTCCATGTCATTCCCAGCTCACTGGATTTTCACAATAAAGCGTAAAGGTCAAGAGGTATTATGTGAAAGCTGAGGATCTGAATCCTACAGATCAGGGGTCAGCAAACTATAGCCCATGGTCAAATCCAGTCTGCCGCCTACTTTACATAGAACCCACAAGCAAAAAATGGGCTTTACATTTTTAAACGATTGTAAAAAACCAAAACCAAAAGAATATTGTTGTGACAGGTGAAAATAACATGAAGTTCAAATCTCAGTGTCCATAAAGTTTTATTGGAACACAGCCATGCTCATTGGTTTACATATCATCTGCCTGCTTTTGCAGGATGGCCATGAAGTTAAGTCATTGCCACAGAGACCCTGTGGCCTGTAGAGCTGAAAATATTCATTCTCTGGCTCTTTATCAAGTTTGCTGACCCTTACCATAGATCAGTAGGTCTCCAGCTTTAATGTACATACCGATTACCTAGGGATCTTATTAAAATGTAGTTTCTAATTTAGCAGGTTTGGGGTGGAGCAGAGGCTCTGCATTTCTAACGAGCTCCGGGTGCTGCCTGAGCTGCTCGTCTGGGGACCCCATTTTGAGTGGCAAGGCTAGGCTCGATCAGACGGATCTGGGGACGCCATGATTCGCTCAGCATCCTTTGGGGCTTTCCAGAGCCTTCAAAATAAACTCAGACTTACTACTACGTGATTCTTGCCAGTCTGTCCAGTTTTGTTACCACCCCCCCACCCCATGCCTCTCACACACATACCCGAAAACACACTCCCACGCGTACACACGTGTGCCTTCTGCTCCCCGATGTACCAGGCTTTCTCATTCACACGCCTATGCACACCCTGGTCTTCCTGCCTAGAACATTTTCTCGTCTCCCCACCCTTCCACCCTGGACATGGCCAATTGTCCAGCTTCTTGTCCTTCATGCTT